GGTGGGGGGTGGGGTGGGGGGGGTGGGCGAGCAGACGAGTCCCATTTCTGATCATCATGTAGAGTGACGAGACGACGCCTTATTTGGTACAATAAACATTCTCCATGGAGGAGTGCGGCTGCTCCGTTCCCGCATGCGGGGAGAGGGGGGAAGAGGCCAGATGTGGCATCATCCTGCTGGTCCCCACCCCATTGGTCCAGAGGTTCAGGGGTCTCCATCGCTCACCCTCTTATGCTACCTACGGGGTGAAAGGTGGGGGTGGGGGGCAGCACCTGGCCTAGGAGGCAAGGAACCCCCCGTCCACAGGCAGGAGGGCGCCTGTAGTCATGGCACTTTGGTCGCTCAGCAGGAAGAGGATGCTGTTCACCACATCGTCGACCTCTGGAGGGAGGAAACACCGGTTGGAGCAGGACAGGAATGCGCTAGCTGCGCAGGGGAGGGCCTGAAGACCCTGGGCTGCTCCAGGGACCGGCCTGGGGTGAGGAACGCTGCACCCTCCTCAGAGACAGTGAACCAGCTGAGCCTGGGGCCACAGCCCCCTGGCACTGGGTGGCCCCTGGGCAGACACAGGCCAAGGACACGGCTTGCTGTTGCCTCCTAGCGCTGGCACGTGCGGGTGAAGAGACCGAGAGTGCCGCCCAGGCTCGCACTGCCCTGGGGGAGAGCTGCAGAGGAGGGGGCTCCGTCCAGCCTTGCTCTCCCAGGTGAGCTGCTCCCAGGGCTCTGGGACCTCTGGGGTCAACCAGCACTTGGCGCTCCCCTGCGTGGGGCTGAGAAGCTAAGCAGGAGGAAGCAGGGGGTGCAGCTGAGTGGGACAGGAGCCCCCTCCCCACCCACCTGCAAACCTCCCCAGTGGGATGCGGCTGAGCATGGCACCAGCCTTCTGGGGCTCCGACCAGTTGACGCGGCCCATGTCGGTCATCACCACGGTGGGGTTCACGGCATTGACGCGGATCTGGGGCAGAGCACAGAGCGCAGTGTGACGCTGTGGCCCCAGGGGCTGCCCTTGCTCCCCACCCCCTGCCTCAGGAGCCTCTACCTTGTGCGGCCCCAGCTCCAGCGCCATCATCTTGGTCAGCATGTCCAGGGCACTCTTTGTCGAACCTGCAATCGGTCGCAGCAGACGGGGCTGTGAGGGTGACGCCTGGCCGGGGGGGCCCACGTGCTCCCCTCCCCAGCCTCTGGAGGGGCCCCAGCCCCGCGATGCTCACAGTAGACAGTGTGGCCCTGCAGAGCCCGCTGGGAGGCCTGGCTGGAGACGTTCACAATGGCTCCAGGCGCCCCCCGTGCGATCAGCTGCCGGGCCACGATCTACAATGCAGAGCACGAGAACACGTGAGGCACCTGGGCCCGGCTGGACTCAAGTGTGGCCCCAGATTGCTCCCAGCCCGCAACCCGGGCCCAAGGGGCAGCTGGATTAGCAGCGCCATGTCCCCCAGATGCCCACGGGGATGCAGCGGTCCCTGGCATAGCTGTTTCCTGGGCCCAACAGAACTTGCTTCCAGGATGTGGGCCTGCACCGGGGCCCTCCTCACCTGGGACACTTGGAGCACGGCGCGCAGGTTCACATCAAATGACCTACAGAACAGCAGGGCACATGAAAGGAGGGTTGCAGCGGAGAGGGAAGCTGCAGCCCAGGCAGCGCTTGTGCCTCAGGCCTCTGCTCAGCCAGCGCAAGGATCCGGGGTTAAGCTGGGTCCGGCTGGCTACGGGCCCGGCT